AGTGTATATAAAGAATAAAAACTTTAACCCCCGGTTTCACAGACAAGGCTTAAGCCTAGTCCTAGACTAAAATGTAAGTCTGAGTGTAAATCTGAGCTGTTTCAAATGAAAGAAACTTGCACTGACTGATCTTAAAATATATCAGTGCCTTTGTTTTGTCTCAAAAAGCACACCAGTAATGTTTTTTTCTAAGGCACGTTTATAAAAATTACTTAAATGTCCTAATTGAACTATGGCCTAATCCTGGCTTAGGCTAAGCCCTGTCTATGAAACCAGGCCTAAATGTTTAGAATATAAAAATATCTATCAGTACCGCAAAACTTCTAAAAATGAGGATTGAGGCACTGAGGCACATATCAGTGTGTTGTTCTGGAGAAAACCTGCCAAAATGTGGGAAGTCGTGGCCTAATGGTTAGAGAGTCGGACTCGTAACCCAAAGGTTGTGGGTTCGAGTCTCGTACCGGCAGGGATTGTAGGTGGGGGGGAGTGAATGTACAGCGCTCTATCCCACCTTCAATACCACAACTGAGGTGCCCTTCAGCAAGGCACCGAACCCCCAACTGCTCCCCGGGCGCTGCAGCAAAAATGGCTGCCCACTGCTCCGGGTGTGTGTTCACAGTGTGTGTGTGTTCACTGCTGTGTGTGTGCACTTAGGATGGGATAAATGCAGAGCACTAATTCCTAGTATGGGTCGCCACACGTCACTTTCACTTTTTCACTTTCACTTTCAAATCACAGTAGGGTGTAAGAGACGTCTTTCTGGCAGAGTGCATGTACACAGTCAGGTAAAGGTCAAGGTTCAACTGTCACTGCTGTTTGATTGACACATGTGGCATATGAATTACGTGAGTATGATGTCATAAGGGCTTTGTGTTTCCTTTCATCTTTAGATGATTTAGAAGAATTAGCAAAAGTAGAAATGGTTCCAATTCCTATTTCTGTTCTCAACTCAGCCGTCGACACTGTTTCATTACAGTAATTTCAAAGATCAAAAGGTGAAAGGCAACAAAAACCTCTTATGACATCATACTCACTTAATTCATATGGAAATGTCATAAGGGCTTTCTGTTTCCTTTCAACTTTAGATGTTTCAGAAGAATTAGCAAAAGTAGAAATGGTTCCACTTCCTAGTTTTATTCTCAACTTTTCAACTTGAATGTGTCAGGAGTTCAAATGTTTGAGGTCAGTAAGTTTTGGTTGTTTTTTTTGTTTTTCTTCAGCAAGGATGCATTAAATTGATCAAGAGTAACAGTAAAGACATTTTTATGTTACAAAAGTTGGGGGAAAAATAACAAAAAGAAATACTGTTTCTTGATCAGCAAATCACCATATTATGATTTCTGAAGGATCATGTGACACTGAAGACTGGCGAAATGGCTAAATTTACGATATTACCATTTTTCAAATAATAAATGCATACATTCATTTACATAACAACACATTTTTTGAGAGCCTGGAATTGCAAACATTCGAAAACAGGTTTCAAAGTGCACGGTTTTGAAAACGTTTTTGTAGTTTACACAAAAAAAAAAATAATTTGTGAAAACGGTCAAGCGCATATATATTACACGGTCAGTTATGTGCGCAGTGTTTACAAAGTGGCATCGCCATCTACTGGCCTGGCAGGCAAAATTCAGCGCTGTATTTTTAGCCATTTTCACGGATCCGTATGAATGGATCGTTTTAGCAACTTTGTCAAAACTTTTTTAAAAATGCAAAGGAAAAACTTTTACATTTTTAGTGCATCATTGTTGTTTAAACATACTCTCAGTGAGCATAAGAGACTTTCAAAAAAGATAACAAATCTTACAGAATTTTTGTATGGAAATATATATCAATGGTAAAGGAATATTTCAGCCCGAAATATATATTTTGGCATCATTTACTTCTTTTCCCCTTATGATTTAAAACCGTGTCCAGGATACTGTTTCATATACAATGAAAATAGATGGGGACTACAACCATCAAGCTCCAAAACATACAATAAATGTAGTCAATATGAGTAATTTGGCGAAAAGTTGAATGGACTATGTTTTTCATTCACTAAGTATTGATATACAATATTTTATAGTCCCTTTGAGGAACTTTTTGTCTGTTTTGGAGGCCACACTGTATATCTGTCTCATTGCCACAAGTCAGGTTCTAACTAATGTAATGCCACATGTGAGGTTCTCGATTTATTAAAATACTCCTCTTGAGGAATCCTTCTTACATCTGTGCAAAACCATGCATGTAGGCATATGACTGTCTGACTCATTTGGGGAAATTTTAGCAGAAGTGGTTGGTAAGTCAACGGGCGTTGGCCTCGAGGCACCTAGCTGGCTTTTTTTGTATGAATAAGGGAAACAGAGTTGCTAAAAACAGACACATTTAAGGATCATGATGATGATGATACTGCAGCCACCTTCAGATTGGGATGGCTTTGGCTGTGTCCTTTCTCTAATTCGACAGAATGACTGACTCCAGTTTAATGGACCGCCCGACTGCCTCTTTGTTTGAGGTTTGGACTGTTTAGACAAGTTAGACCATATTCTTAGTCTCCAGACCTTCACAACTAGGTGAGAAACTTTTGCCAAACCTAGAACTTTGCAGACCATAATTCAAGATGGTTCAACTACCTTCTGTAGTGCCTTCTTGAAGAAATTATGGCACAGCATTGGTTCCCAAAAGTGCTGAATATGCGCTTGACAACAACGCTGTTCCTCATCATTGCATAATCAATTGATGAATTACACAAACATCTATTTTTATAAATGAATAAGAATGGGCAACCAAAAGAAAATGATTTCAGTACAAATTCCTCCCAAGCTGAAATGGTCCATGCCATGCTCACATTTATTTATTACTCTGTACTATTATTGTATGTCAACAATCATCTAAGTCCATTATGTATTTCTCCTTAAGAATGTTAGGAAAAACATCTGAGACAAAGTACTTAAAACTGAGAACTTCAAACTCTGCCCATCACAAGTGTCTCGAAAAAACCCTAAAACACCCTTGCATGGAAAAGGAGAACGTCTGAGCTATTTTAACACGTTTCCTTCTTCAAATTGTCATTTGAAATAGACATTTTAAACTAGCCTTGGCTCTTAAAAATGGTGAATGCGCGAACACTCTTCTCCATCACATCTTTATCAATTGATGAATTACTGCTGCCATGATTGCTGCAAATCTACAGAAACATCTATTTTTAGTGAATACGAAAGGATAAAAGTTTCCAAAAAAAACTTTTTTTTCACAGTGATTCCATAGAAGAACCATTTTGGGTTCTCCAAGGAACCTTTCAGTGAACAGCTCTTAAAAGAACAATTTTTTTCTAAGTGTGAAAAACATTTGAATAATCAAAATAAATGTTATCCACTGTAAAGAACCTTTTGTCTGATGGAAAAGTTCCATGCATGTTAAAGGTTCCTAATGGAACAATTGATGCCAATAAATATCCTTTTTTTAAGAGTGTAGCTGCAAAAGTGATGCAACTGTTTTGCTCTGACTTTGGCTGCTCCCAAACACCAGATGAGAAGGTTTGCAGTCTGCACAATGCTTGAATGAGACAGAGACAGACATGCCCTCATCACAAACACAATCACAGCGTTGGGTCACAGAGGGTTTGATGGGGGAAAATGAAAGGAGATCAGTCCTCTAAATAGCCACAGTGATGTCACTCTCTCCGTACTGGCAAATAACGTTCCTTCATCAACGTTAAAGCACCATAACGTGTGGTAATAAGGTTAGGATATTGGAAGAGGGTTAGGACCTCTAGAATGTTTTGAATGTGATGTTATCCTTTAAAAAGACAAATCACAAGTGAGGCATCTTTAGAATCTTAACTGTTTCTCCTATATAACAAAATGAAATATTTAAAAACACAACGAAATACAGCATAACCCATTCTGTTTGTGAATTATCACCAAACAGTACGTTCTCTTCTCTCCCAGATATCATTTCCTTCAGTGTCAGTGAGCTGACAGATTGTTCCTTTCATTAGTTTCTATCTGCATCTCCATCTACCTCTCCCCCTCTGCCACTCTCCTCCACACCTCCTCTAACTCAACATAAACCTCTAAACTGCTCTGAGTTAATTCACTGTGAGCAGAGTTTATTAGTACACAAAATGCTTCTCTGCCCATAGAATAAGAGCTCTTTAATATCTCAATTGTTGTAGATATGGGAATAAAAGAAGAGCAAATGGCTTAAATGCCCTGGTTTATCTTCTGAGGGTCTTAGATTAGACCCAGGTAATCTAATTTGTGTCTCCTTTAGAGTTTCATAGGAGATCTCAATCTCAAACTGTGCTCAGATTTGCCAAATTCTGCAAACAAAAGAAGAGATTTCAATATAAACTCAATTTTTAATCAAAATCTCCCAAGCTGAAATAGTCCACGCTCTGCTATCCACATTTATTACACTATGCTCTTACTGCCATTTGAGTCTATTTTTATTTATGAGAAGAAATATCTGAGACAAAGTACTTCAAACTGAGAACTCCAACCTCTGGATGTCCACCACAAGTGTTTCAAACAAAGCCAAAAATTAAAAACGCTGTACTTTTGAATGGAAAAGGAGAATATCTGAGCTATTTTAACACTTCTCCTTCAAATTGTCAAAGCTAGTAGACAACAGCTGTAAAAATATGAAACTAGCTTTGTCCAACGGTGAGGTCTATGGAACTTATTAAAAAGGTTTGTTTGGATAATTGACAATTAACAAGTTCAGTAGCCTATGCCACAGAGCTGCATGACATCTGATGAAAAACCCATATAGATAGACATAAATAAAAAGGCAAGAATCATACACATACACACTGATTATAGTTGATTATGTGTTTCTGTGGTTATGACACACGCATGCACACATAGACAAAATTTCTGGAGCTGGGTGACCTTTACATTACAGCAAAGCAAAACACACACACACGCGTCTCACAACAGAACAATAACCACATGCACACAGCTAACTTGTCATTAGCAGCATCCAAATGACTGTAAACAGACAATTATTACCTTAAAAAATGCTATCCAAAGAACGTCCACAAAAACGCAGTGGGAAAAAATGTCAATAAAACCCAAAACAAATCCAGTGCGTGACTCCGCTACAGGATTCACTGCGGTCCAAGATTCAATCCCGAACGTGACTCTGTCCGATACAAGTGCATTACTGAGTCAAACAGTCCGGTCAAAAGTCTATAGCTGCAACCGTAAAATCAAAAAGCTCCATGGGGCAGCCGTGAACCGAAAACAGCAGAGCTGTCATAAACTTTTCCCCTCACTGCTCACACCATCTGCATTGGAGTCTCTGGGGGAAATCGACTGGCTCCGTTTGCTCTCAAGACGGCCACGGGGGGCTTTGAGTTCAGCCCCTCAGCGTACACACTTTTAAAACAGTCCTCACACACTAAATGAGTCTTGCTGATACACACACGGACAGGAGGACTGCGACCTCAGAGGGACGGAGAGTGTGTTTGAGGAAGTGTGAGAGGAGGAGAGATCCGAACACCTCACACACAAACTCCCTGATCGGTTCAGATTGCACACACACTCGCAGTGACAGACAGTTCTCCCTCACTGCCGCGTTTGACACCCAAACGCTAAATGGTAATGTCTTTTTTGTACTTTAAGTTCTTTATTGTATTTTTAGTGTTTTCATACGCTTTAAGTCTAGAAATGTCCGCACCCGCAGTACAGAGTCGTTCACAAGCAGCTCACGCAGGTGTTAAACTTAGCCTAATAGACTTTCTCCATCGCTTGCAAATGATGGATGGATTTGCAGGGTTCTTTTTAAATGTATTGTAAGTAAATATTCACTTAATCCAGGCAACTCTTTGTTCTCTTTTTCTCTAAAATTAGAAATGCGTGAGTGAACTGTTCAAAATCGACTCGATATTTCCCTGACGTTTGATATAAAATTGCTTGAGCAGAATTTTCTCTATTATATAAACATATACAATATATATATATATATATATATATATATATTGATATATTGATATATTGATATTATAATTTTATATTGATATTATATTTTATATTGATATTATAATTTTATAATAATATATAATTACAATATATTATTATAATTACTATATTATAGTAATGTCTATAATGTCTCGAATGAATCTAAGGAGAACCACCATAATAATGGCATTTAAAAGTAACTAACTAACTAAAATTGGCCTCTAAAATGTGCTTTGGCATCATGAAAATAATACCAAAGTTCAGGAAAAACATTGAGGTTAAAATTTGAACAGGGTATTTATTCCTTCATTCAAACAGTTCATGCTTTAAGATGCAGGCAGTTCATTAATTTAAAAAGAATATTTTTGGCTCAATCAGACTTTTATTTTTGAGTGAATCTGATCAAAACTGACTCTAAATTGCTTTGGTTCAATAAAACTATAGAAATTTGCCAGAAAAGTCCCTACAGTGTTATGACTAAATGAGACTCTTTAGTATTCCAGCTGAATTGAGGCTTGATCTGTCTGTCATAGTGGCACTTCAAACAGATGTCTAACATCAGACACCCAACTGGATTCCTGAGCATCGCTTTTCCTGACTTCCTTATCAAACCATCAAACATATCGTGGCAACAGGGTGGAGCTCCACAATGCTTCAAACTAAAAAATGTCTTTGGGATAACAAAATGTATGCAAAAATAAGTGCTGCTGTAATCCAAAGTAAAACAATGTCAGTGCTGAAAATGAGAAGATGTCAAAGCAAATGTTGTGTAAGAAATATGATTATCTTTAAATTAAACCCAGAGGCCAAATATTGTGTGGACAGGGAGTGTGCATGTACTGTAAGATTGGAGGAAACATGAGAGTGAAATTATATGATGTGGTCAACTGGAAATTGAATGTTGGGTGATGCTCTTGTCTGATTCTTTTGATAAATTTTCTGTACATTAAAAGCGTGTAAAAGTGAACATTCTCTGATTGTAGAAACTTAAAAAGCTTCTGTTGATCAGGACAGGATGCTTTTGTATTGCTTGAGATGGTTGTTTAAACTGTAGTGTTTTCTATTTGTTCCTTTCGACAAGATTGCTGTACAGTTTCAAGCTGATAGAGTCAGGCAGGAGGAGAGAGAGGGAGGGTTTGATGGCTGTTGTAGACTTTATTACTGCTGGTATGAATTATTGAGTTTTTTACAGGTTTGAGACTGATGGCTGCCACTGTATAAGTGTATAAGATGGTCACTCAGCCCATCGTCTTTACACAGGACTTGCATACTGTATGTACCATGAACAAGAATAGGCATTGAAAAATGTCCATGTGTTGTAGGGCAGGCCTTTGAATATGCTTTAATTTGTATATCACATGTCTTTATGTACAGCATTGATGATCAGTTATTTTTATAGAACATAATGGGTCAATGATCCAGGTCTAAATTTGGATCTAATGGGATCTGATTTGGGGTTTGATTCTGGATCTGAATTTGAAACTGAATATAGTTTGGGGTATAGATCTGGGTCTAGATTTATATGTGGATTTGAATCTGGATCTGAACATAATTTTGGGTCAGGTTTTTGACCTTGATCTGGGTTAGAATTAGAAGTTTATTTGAATCTGAATTTGGATCTGAAAACAGATTTGGATCTTTTTGGGGGTCTGGATCTGGGTGTAGATTTAAATGTGGATATGTATTTGAAATATGGATCTGAATGAAATCTGACTCGTGCCAGGGCTTTGAATATAGTTTTGGATCTGGAACAAGGTGTAGATTTAAATGTGGATTTGAATCTGACTATGGGTCTGAATCTGGATCTGTGTGTATATTTAAATGTGGATTTGAATCTGAATTTGGATCTAAACACATATTTGTATCAGGTTTTGAGTATGGAACTGAATCTAGATTTAAATGTGGATATTTATTTGAATTTCGATTTAGATCTGAATGAAATCTGACTCATTCCAGGCCTTTGAATATAACTTTGGATCTGGATCAAGGTGTAGATTTAGATATGGATTTGAATCTGATTTTTGGATCTGGATCTGGGTGTAAATTTGAATGTGGATTTGAATCTGAACACAGTTTTGGAACTGGTTTTTGGTCTGGATCTGGGTCTAGATTTGAATGTGGATTTTTATTTGAATTGGGAACTGGATCTATATTAAAGGGGTCATATGATGCGATTTCAGTTTTTCCTTTCTCTTTGAAGTGTTACAAGCTCTTGGTGCATAAAGAAGATCTGTAAAGTTGCAAAGACTAAAAGACTATAGATTTGTGTGCTTCTTTAACAGAAAAACAGCATATGAAAGATTTAACCATCTGGAAAACATTATTTATTCAGTAGAACGTAAAAATAACTAAACATTCACTTGTGGGTTTGATAAATTGATCCTTTGCAAATACTCTACCTCAAACATTTGGTTGCAATTATCACTCTGACCTGCTTTATGGCCCATTGGGTATGAACATCTAACAACATTAACTTTAACCCTTTTAAAACTAACTTGAAATTATTTTGGAGCTGTTTATTCTGGGCTGATGCCTCAAATTTAATGCAGTGTGATACTGTGAAAACGTACTGGTCAAGTCAATTTACACTACTACACTGACCTTAATGTACAATAAAAATTATAAATATCCATATCATGATTGCAGCAATTAAAAATATTAACCTTTTTCTGTATCCAGATGGAGATCTGCCCCGTTTCATTGGCACCGTGTGCCGTCCACTCAAGACGTTCCAGATCTCTGTGTCATAATTAATCACTGTGGTTACATTGGCCAGCCATGCTGGATGGTGTGCAGAAGTCACCCACTGTGCAACAGCTGCTGATATTCCATTTCCCACAATGCACAAGGAGAGGCAGAGGTCACAGCGCTTACTGGGATCATCAAACTGTTGCCGTGGTGACCGACCATTGGAAAGTCTGACTCATGATGGAAGGTTTGAATGTTTTAAAGCACAAAGAATCATTATTTATTGAACACCATTTGTACTCATTAGACTTTTGGCTATATTAAGATCCACTCAGTTTTGACATTAAGTCTCTGGGGTGCCCTCTAGTGTTATGAAGAATATGCTTCTGTAAGTGTGCAAACAATAAGTTTAAAGGAATAGTTCACCCAAAAAATGAAAATTTGCTGAAAATTCATTGAAACAGTGGAAAATTTAACCATTTATTCACCAATGGATCCTCTGAAATGAATGAGTGCCATCAGAATGAGAGTCCAAACAGCTGCTAAAAACAACACAATAATCCACAAAGTAATCCACTCCACTCAGTCCATCAGTTAATGTCTTGTGAAATGAGAAGTTGCGTGTTTGTAAAAAACAAGTCTATCATTAAAGCGTTTTAACCCTACACTCTTGCTTCTGGCCAAAACAAAAACGTGCCCATGATCCATAATAACTCTTTCTCCACTGAAAAAGTCCATCCCCTGTTGTCCTCTCACATCAAAATCCAAAATCCATCAACATTTTTGTTTAGAACTGTTTTAGACTGTTTTCACTTGTAAACAGTGTTTGATCAGTGCATATTTCTCTCCTGATTCAGTCAAGATGACTTTTACACTGTAGAAAGCAATATTATGGATAGAGGACTCAGTCCATAATATTCCATTTTAGCTGGAAGCAATGGTTTGAAGTTGAAAATGTCTTAATGATCAATTTATTTATTACAAACATGCAGCTTTTCGCTTCACAAGGCATTAACTGATGGTCTGAAGTCCTGTGGATTCCATGTGGATTATTGTGATGTTTTTATCAGCTGTTTGAACTCTTATTCTGACGGCACCCATTCACTGCAGAGGATCCATTGATGAGCAAGTGATGTAATGCTCAATTTCTCCAAATCTGTTCAAAATATATATAGTGTAATAAAATAATCACTTGAATGTGTAATTTGGATGTTTTCTTTCCACTAGTTATGGAAGCAAAATAGCCCAAAAATTAGCCTCTTAACAACAAATAAGTGAGCTAAAGAACTTAGATTTTCGTTGAATTCATCTATCAAGCCATTAATAAGTTTGTTGTCCCTTTGTGCTCATAAAAATATCCCATGGGTCTCTCTACCCACTGAGCTGTAGATTTATCCAGCACACTGGCCCTATAAAAAGAACCAGACCTGCAGACAGAGAACTCCACCAGGCTCATTTGAGGTAATATAATACTTAGAATAATTTAAATATATATTAGAAATTAATATATATTGTGGCAGTATTTAACAGTATTCTGTATACCAGTAAATTAATAAGCATAATTAGTTCAAATAGGTTTTACTGCAAAACTTGTGTTAACAAACATTTGTGTGCGTAATGAAATCCCTCTGTTGTGATTGTGTTGAATTTCTTTGAATTCAGTAAATCTGTCCTTCTTTTATTCCAATTCAAATGGTTATTTAACATCCTACATTTAATAATTTATGAAATTATTTCTTAAATTCTAAACTTTTGCATACACA